TATCTATCTATCTATCTATCTATCTATCTATCTATCTATCTATCTATCTATCTATCTATCTATCTATCTGGTGAATTTTTAGATATTTACTTTCAATCCTTTACCTGCTGGGGTAATCAAGAGAAGAAACTATCTATAAGGCTCAAAAAGCATCTCTCATAATTACCAAATTTGCAAGGTGGCATGGGAGTGTTTTTTTCCCCCCAACTGCCGCTAAGTTATTTCAGGCCAACATTCTCAGTTTGTTGCTCTATGGAACCAAATTGTATATCTACAAGAAGATCTGAACCTTGGATTCCATACATAGCATGCATCTCTCATTTGATTTCTAATGTCTAACATGATTAGAACGGGGCTGCATCTCTTCTGAGACTCACTCAAGATTATGTTGCTTTAGGTCATGGGCAAAGTAAACCCTTTGGAGGACCTTTTTGGTTCATCTCATTTGAATCCATTCTGTAAAAAGAAATTGATGAAGAACTGATGAGATGTATTGTGATCTTTCAAAACTACCTTTACTTATAGGCCCCTATATAATTAATGCAGAATTTAAGCAGAGGGTCTGGGACTTGCATCTCCAGGAAGATAGGGCCAACATTTCCCTTCTTTAGAGGAGAATCACCACCTCCTCTTAGACTCTTCCTAGGTATTTTTTCAAGTTCATGTGTGCTCTGCATAGGAGGCTTTTTTCTCTTCCCCAAGTTGATGTATTATTCATCAGAGTAACAACCAGAAGATATTTCTGGTTGTCAAACATAGACATGTCTTATTAAAATGTATTCATGTTGGTGATCAGAACTCATAACCCCGATTATCAGAAATTTTAATGTTCTCCATAATGTGAAGATCACTGTTTATCTTTTAAGTGATCCATTTTTAGATGTATCAAGGGCAATGGCAACATTTTTATCTGCAGCATTAGCCTGCAGAAACTGACTGGTACCTTCTTTACAATTTTGATTGTTTTGCAATTTTTATTAATGTACTTTCACTGTTGTATATGTTTTAATGTATGTTCCTTTGGTCTTGGACTGTAAAGCAATAAAGAAATATCTACTTTTTATAAATAGATATGAGGCTTAAATTACATTTTGGATACATGACGTGAAGATCTAGCTCTCTGGAGAAATCTATTATGCTGGGAAAGATGGAAGGAAAGAGAAGAGCAGCAAGGTGGATAGACAGAATTACAGAGGCAATGGGTGCACCATTGGGAGACCTGAAGGACCAAGTTTGGGAACAGATCATCCTGGAGAAAAACTATATGCTAGTTTGCTCCGAGTCAACACCAGCTGATGGTGAATAATCAGTAACAAAGGATGGATTTATTTTACTGGAAAGTGCTTCTGCTCATATCCTTCAATGTAACTGATGTTTTTGCTGATCCCCTAACCTGCTCCTGTGTTCATAGCAGACTTTATTCTCTATGGTCCCTCTACTCTGCCAAGCAAGAGGTAACAAAAATACTGAGGTCTCTCAAATATTTACCTGTTTATAAGGTAAACAAATAATAATAATAATAATAATAATAATAATAATAATAATAATTATTATTATTATTAT